CTGCGACCCCTGCCCGGTGCCCAGGGACCACTGCCCGGTGCCCTGCGACCCCTGCCCGGTGCCCTGCGACCTCTGCCCGGTGCCCAGGGACCACTGCCCGGTGCCCAGGGACATTGCCCGGTGCTCTGCGACCCCTGCCCGGTGCCCTGCGACCCCTGCCCGGTGCCCAGGGACCACTGCCCGGTGCCCAGGGACACTGCCCGGTGCCCAGGGACCACTGCCCGGTGCCCAGGGACACTGCCCGGTGCCCAGGGACATTGCCCGGTGGCCTGCGACCCCTTCCCGGTACCCTGAGACCCCTTCCCGGTACCCTGAGACCCGTTCCCGGTACCCTGCGACCACCCCAGGCCCCTTCCCCCGGCAGCTCCCGGCGCTCTGATCCCCGATCTCCGGGATTTCCCAGCCTCATCCCCCGGGCGATTCCCGCCGCCGTTCCCACCCCCCATTCCGAGCTCTCCCGGTGTCCCCGAGCACCGATCCCCGCTCCCTTTTCCCTCCCCAAGGCCGGCATTCACCATGAATTTCGAAGGGCTCAACCCCTCCCTGGCCGAGTTCGCGCCGCCGCTTCACCCCGCGCTGGAGCCGGTGCTGGACCCGCACCTGAACCCCAACCTGGTGGAGCTGGACCCCGAGGGGGTGTCCCTGGAGGGGCTCCCGGTACCGGAGTCGGTGCACCTGATGGAGGGGATGTACAGCGAGCTGCACACCGCCGTCTCCGAGGTCGGCGTGCCCGTCTCCGTCTCCCACTTCGACCTGCACGAGGAGATGCTGTGGGTTGGCAACCACGGGGTAGGTGGGGAGCTCGGAAGAGGCTTTGGGAAGCTCTGGAGAGGCTTTGGGAAGCTCTAGAGAGTTTTTGGGAAGCTCTGGAGAGGTTTTGGGAAGCTCTGGAGAGGTTTTTGGGTGTTCTGGAGAGGTTTGGGAAGCTCTGGAGAGGTTTTATGGAATCTCAAGAGGTTTTGGGGAAGCTCTGGAGAGGTTTTATGGAATCTCAAGAGGTTTTGGGGAAGCTCTGGAGAGGTTTGGGAAGATCTGGAGAGGTTTGGGAAGCTCTGGAGATGTTTTATGGAATCTCAAGAGGTTTTGGGGAAGCTCTGGAGAGGTTTGGGAAGCTCTGGAGAGGTTTTGGGAAGCTCTGGAGAGGTTTTTGGCAGCTCTGGAGAGGTTTGGGCAGCTCTGGAGAGGTTTTGGAAGCTCTGGAGAGGTTTTTGGGTGTTCTGGAGAGGTTTGGGAAGCTCTGGAGAGGTTTTTGGGTGTTCTGGAGAGATTTTGGAAGCTTGGAAGAGGTTTGGGAAGCTCTGGAAAGGTTTTATGGAATCTCAAGAGGTTTTGGGGAAGCTCTGGAGAGGTTTTGGGAAGCTCTGGAGAGGTTTAAGGGAAGCTTGAGAGGTTTTTTTGGAAGATCTGAGAGGTTTTGGAAGCTCTGGAGAGGTTTGGGAAGCTCTGGAGAGGTTTCTCGAAAGCTTGAGAGGTTTTTGGGTGCTCTGGAGAGGTTTGGGAAGCTCTGAAGAGGTTTTATGGAATCTCAAGAGGTTTTTGGGAGGCTCTGGAGAGGTTTTTGGGTGTTCTGAAGAGGTTTGGGAAGCTCTGGAGAGGTTTTGGAAGCTCTGGAGAGGTTTTATAGAAGCTCAGGAGAGGTTTGGGAAGCTCAAGAGGTTTTATGGAAGCTCTGGAGAGGTTTTTGGGCGCTTTGGAGAAGTTTTCAAAGCTCTGGAGAAGTTTGGGAGGCTCTGGAGAGTTTTTGGGCAGCTCTGGAGAGGTTTTGGAAGCTCTGGAGAGGTTTTTGGAAGCTCTGGAGAGTTTTTGGGCAGCTCTGGAGAGGTTTTGGAAGCTCTGGAGAGGTTTTGGGAAGCTCTGGAGAGGTTTTGGGAAGCTCTGGAGAGGTTTGGGCAGTTCTGGAGAGGTTTTTGGGCAGCTCTGGAGAGGTTTTGGAAGCTCTGGAAAGGTTTTGGAAGCTCTGGAGAGGTTTGGGCAGCTCTGGAGAGGTTTGGGCAGCTCTGGAGAGTTTTTGGGCAGCTCTGGAGAGGTTTTGGGCAGCTGTGGGGAGGTTTTGGAAGCTCTGGAGAGGTTTTGGAAGCTCTGGAGAGGTTTTGGAAGCTCTGGAGAGGTTTTTGGCAGCTCTGGAGAGGTTTTGGGAAGCTCTGGAGAGGTTTAAGGGAAGCTTGAGAGGTTTTTTTGGAAGATCTGAGAGGTTTGGGAAGCTCTGGAG